TTTTTAAATTTTGGAGACCAGCCCTCTGTCGGATGTGGGGCTGGTGAATATCTTTTCCCAATCTGTAGGCTGTCGTTTTGTCTTGCTGACTGTGCCCTTTGCCTTACAGAAGCTTCTCAGTTTCAGGAGGTCCCATTTATTAATTGTGGATCTCAGTGTCTGTGCTACTGGTGTTATGTTCAGGATGTGGTCTCCTGTACTAATTCGTTCAAGGGTTTTTCCTACTTTCTCTTCTAATAAGTTCAGTGTGGCTGGGTTTATGTTAAAGTCTTTGATCCATTTGGACTTAAGTTTTGTGCATGGCAATAGACATGGATCTATCTACAGTCTTCTACATGATAATGGCCATTCTTATACTGCTTTTTTTAACCTTTTTCCTTCTGTCCAAGATTCAGATATGCATTATTTTTACTCTGAGTAGGTTATCTAATCAATATGTTGATTTTTTCTGACTTTACATAATATATCAATCCCACAAAAGCAGCAGCAACAGACTCAACCAACCATACATGAATCATTACTTAATGCTCACCCTGTTAGTTTTATTTTAACAAAATTACAGATATTTTTGCATTGGCCAACTAGTTATTTATCTCAATTATAACATGGATCATATGACTTGGAAGAAAAGTAACTTATATCCCCTAGCTTGTTTGTTGTTCTGCATTGTGAATTCTCATCTAGTATTGCTTGATCTTAAGGGTTTTATTTACTTTTATTTCTTTATAACTTCCTTTTTTAATTTTCCCCTTTTACTGAAAATAGATTCTTTCCTCATATACTATTCCCTGATTATAGTTTCCCCTCCCTCTACTCCTCCAAGTTCTTCCCCACCATTCTTTCCATCGGGAGCCACTCCCACTCAGCCTGTTTTCTTATAGGACCCAGGACCACCAACCCATGGATGGCATCACCCATAATGGCCTGGGCCTTTTCCATCAATCACTAATTAAGAAAATGCCATATAGGCTTGCCTTCAGAATGATTTTATGGAGACATTTTCTTAGTTGAGGCTCTCTCCTCTCCAATGATTCTAGCTTGTGTCAAGTAGACATAAAACTAGCCAGCACATAGAGATAGAAGAGAAACAAGTATCAAAACTGTACTTACTAGAAGCCAAGAGAAAACCACTTATAACACAAGTAGTCAAAAGTTAAGTACACAAAGGGCTAATTCATAAAACTCACACTCTATCAAGACAGTCATTGTGCCTTGCATGTGAAATGGCCCTCATGGGCACATGTGTGTGAATATTTGGTCCCTAGCTATTCTGGAAGGTTATAGAACCTTTAGGATATGGAGCTTCACTGGAGGTAGTGGGCCACTGGCCGTGGGTTGGGGAGCAGGGAAATGTGGCTTGACAGATCTGATTCCTCAGTGTAGATGTACAGCCAGCCTTCTCCTCCTGCTACCATGCCTTCCTCATTTACTGCCATATCCGCCTCACCATGATGGGCCATACCCCTCTAGAATTATAAAACAAAGTAACCCCTTCCCAAAGGGTATTTTAGCCTAGCAACAAGGAAGCAAATAAGACAATAACCGATAACATCACTGAATCTAAAAAGCATCCAAAACTATTTCCTGACAAAATGAGTATAAATGACTTAGAACAGACCTAGAGGTCAGGGATAAAATTCTACAGAGAGGGAAGGGTATCAGAGAGACTTGGCATCTACTGAAAAAAAAGTCACTGCTAAAGTGGACCCTAGGCTGTTAAGTAGAATATTATGATTAAGTTTTAAAGCACAAACAGGCAGAGAGGCAAGTGAATACACCAGACGGGGTGTATAGCAAAGGGGAATTAAACAGAATCGATTTTTGCAAATAATGATATGCATGGCAATACTCGTAAATCTGGGGCTGGAAGTAGGTTTTAATAACTGATTAAATTTTCCTTTATCCCAACTTAACAAATTTCTCTGTTCTTCTGATGATTAAAAGTTCTTTAACATCTGCCCAGTTCTAAGTGTCACAAATAAGGCTTTTAGACCACAAACAACAGTATGAGTCTTCCCAAATACTCATCCACAACAGCACCAGTGGCCTCTACTGTAAAAATGTGCTTTTTTTCTTTGAAGTATTATATAAATAAATCTTCACAGTAATGCATATAAATAGAGCACCATTTATTCATAGATGATTCATTAATAATCAAGCCATGCATATTTATTGTTTATTCTGAGAAGGCTGCCTCCAAGTCATAATGACTGTCAGCTTAGTCAAGTCGAAGAGGTAAAAGCAATCAGCAGACAAAGTTGTGGCATGCCCCTACCCCTACCTTTCTCTCTTTGTATTTAAACACATTTCTAAATGTGAAAGGAATGCTAGCAAAATGTATGGATTGACTGGGTGACATAAGATATGGGAAAATTAAAATGATATACATATTCTGTGATCATGCAGACAGCCCCACCACAACAACTCTAGGTAAACTGAAAACCAGAAGCAGAAGTGCCGGTGAGAAAACAAACTGGAGCTCTAACTGTAAACAAGAACCTATCCACTACCAGTCTAAATGGGAGCACTTCTTCTCTTGGTTATTCCAACTATAGTTTCTAAAAACTATTTAATACAATTTTTACAGTGCATTCACTGTTGTCACAATAACGCATATAACTGCCAAACTCATACCTCAGTTTCTCACCACCTGTTTTCCTCAATGTCTACAGTTAACAGCTGCCACCCCATCTTTTTGTTTTGTTATGGTTTGGTTCTTCAAGTATTCTCTGTGTGGCCTTGGCTATCCTGGAACGAGGTTGGCCTTGAACTCAGAGATCTGCCTGCTACTTCCTCCCAAGTTCTGTTATTAAATGCATGCACCATCACTACTCAGCACCCTGTCATTTTTTATGAAAGTATGCAAAGACTATGCTTACATGTTTATCTTCACATCTTTACCTTCATTTGTAGAAAGGGATATATTAGATGTTGCAAATATCCTTCTACATGGTCAACAATACCTGCTACCATGCCTTGACCCATAGGATGAAAACATTAAGGCTATACTTAAAATTGTTTTTATTTTATTTTATCATGAGTGTCAATCTGTGTGGATGCATGCATTCCTTGGAGTCTGTGAAAGTCAGAGGGCAATTTGAGGATTCCATTTCGCCTTATCTTGTGGGTCCCAGGGATTCAACTCAAGTTTTCAGTTTAGGCAGCAAGAACCCTTACCCACTAAGCTATCTTGCCTGCCCCTAAATTCCTAATTTAAAAACAGAAAATTAATTTCTCCAGTGGAAATTCCTGAGGCAAGAGCTGGGCCTTTATAATGTAAACCAATCTTTACTGGCAGCACTTGTTCCATCTTATATTGCGTGTCTTAAGTTTATGATCAACAGTATATGCTCAAACAGCCATCGTTAGTTTCAGTTCTTATCAGTCGCATTGGCAGTGAGGAAAGTTTGCAGATGGAATGTTTGATGCAGAGAGAACTAGCATTGAACTAAGACCCTGCTGGAATTCAAGGACCCCAATACAGAGACTTGGCCTGCAAAGCACTTTGTAAGGGCAGTGGAAAGGCTCAAAAGTGGCCTCAGAAGCAAAGTCTATCTGGTTTCTCCTCCCCACTTTTCTCTTCCCCATAGACTATGCCATAGACAGCAGTATTCCTCTTACCCAAGACAGTTAGGGAAATTTAACTTCATGCTCCTAACTCACCACAAAACCTATTATTCTAACTTTTCCTGACCTTCCAGATCCACAGTGAGGCTCTCTGGCTGGCCCTAGCAGCACAGCCCCTAGAACCCAGCTGCTTAGGGGGCTGAACCAGGAAGATTCCAAGTCATATATCTTCTTGAACTACAAAGAAAGTTCAAAGCCACCTGGATAATTTAACAAGACTGTCTCAAAATAGAAAGTAAAATAACAGCAAATAACAGCAACAAGATGAGCTGAGGATATACAGATCCATGCAAGAGCAGTTGCTTGGCATGTGTGAGGCCTTAGGTTCAGCCCCAACAACAGGACAAAAGAACATTTAGTAATTTAAAACAACAGATAGTGTCTCCAAAGTTTCTACTCCATCTTTAACTTTATGAAAATGATGGGATCATGAGGCACATAACAAGAACAACCATCAAGGTTAAGAGAAAAGCACCTGTTTGTATCCTAGGAAAATTACTGTGGCATTACTAAATGAATATGCACTTCTGCAAGCTTTCAAATGTTTAACAGGTGACATTTAATAGTAAGGAAACTAAATGCTTAAATAGAAAGGAGCAGAAACACCTGGGCAGGTCTGCAAGCGCCGTCCTCTATTTAGCATGCAATTTCATTTTCAACATAATTAGCTTAAATGAGCTTCTAAATTTGGGTGATGTATTGCACATGTAATTAAGATTTAATTAAAAATGTTCTGTAATAAATTGTTTTCCATTTCTGACAAATCACATTAGAGAGGTAGATTTTGATTTGGAAATAGTTTTTTAAATGTGTTAATCATCTGTGCTGAAAATATGAGAAAAAAAAAGCAGTTCAGTTGAAAGTCACTTGAGATTTAAATAAGAACTAAAGGATACAGTTGGCCCTTACATCATTATGAAGTTTAGCTGAAGAGGATAGTTAGCATTCATCCGTTTTTTTCTGAGCATCAATATTCTAAATATGAACTCTATTTCTTTTTGTTCTTATAAAATATACAAATATGGTTAAAAATTGTACTGTGAAAGCACTTATACACAAGTCCAGTCTCTTGATAAAAAGCTTTAACAAGGTTTTGTAACTACCTGCTAAATCCTGGCACGGAGATGGAACCTCTGTTGCCAGTCCAAGACAGGTTAAGCCACTGGACAAGACCACAGCGAGCCTGTAGAAACTCCAGTGAAGTATCGTCTAGCTTTGCCCAGTATGGCTGCAGGTTGAGGTGGATATACTGTAGAGGATCGCAGCAATGTTGGTGTAGAAGTCTGCAAGTCTGTGCTAATCTACACAGGTCTGGTAGTGAAAGATGATTCAGAATCAGTTGAATGAGCTATATAAAACAGAAAGCCAAGATCATCAAGAGTGAAGGACAGTATCACTTTTTATAAACACAGAATGTGGTCTAACAAAGAGCAGTGTCAAGTTCAAACAGTATCTTCACAAAATAGTTAAATCAACATTCACTAAAGTACCCAAATAGAAACAAACTACACATACATTAGACTTTACTGAATTTAAAAGCTGCTCAAATTCTCAACTAATGTTGACAACTCATTTTCATTCTGTACATAGATATATACACTGGTAGTTTTTGAATAATAAAAATTTTCATAAACAACATTTTCTGCAAACCAGATACTGGTGACAACAAAAGCAAGGCACTTCCCTTCAGTTCTGGTGGAATCGGTGAGTAGAGTGTTTTCATAACACTGACAAAGAGAAGCACACAGTGTCATTGAAGAGCTACCAGAAGCTGACTCCAGAGAACAAGTATACTCCTGCCAGACAAGTGCCATGTATAGGTGAGGAGCAAAGTAGGTGAAGAGAGTCTAGTGGTGGGAATGGGGTCACATAGAGCCTCACTTGGATTATTCCTGAAAGCAATGAGGACCATGGAAAGCATTCAAACTACAGTGGCACAGTAAGCTTGTGAAAGACAAAGAGGAACATGGGAGTCTCCCAGGAAACTGGAAGGGGATTCCCAGGAGCTAACACAGAATTCCACGAAAGGGAGAAAACGAGGGATCCCACTGAAGACAGCTGGTAGCAATGATGCTGCCACACACATTATTAACAAAGTGAAAACAAAAGATAACTTTAATTACAATTATCTCTTTGAACTAGTCCAAGATTCACTTTCCAGTTGAGGCTTTCTAACCTAGTTTTCAAAGAACAATGTCTTAGTGGCCTGAACTGAACCAAGAATCATAATGAGAAATTGCATATGTGTTTAATGATGAAAAAAATCTTCAGTGAGAGGTTTTTAAAATTTAACACAAAGTATCTACCTGAATTTTCTCTGTAAGTAATTATATTCTTTAATATAAATGATCTTCAACTCATCATGTAAACTCAGTACTAATATTAGATCAGAATCTCACTATTCTTAGCCAAATATTCCAACATTCAGATGAACAACAATATAATCTTTAAAATAAGTTTCAAGATTACTTATAAAACAACAGCAGTTGCTGATAACATATTGTATCTAATAAGGCTTGCTGTTTATTTTTAGCATTTAAACTAGGCTGTAAAAATGTATTGAAGATGTTTGTATGTCTGCATACTTATTAGAAAAACAGAAATAAAAATTATTTGTGTAAAAGCAGAAATGATTCTCTCTTTTACCAATACTTAGTCTGATTTCTAGACTTTGCTAGGCCTACCTTATGCTGATTTATAAAATTCAGTTTTACCAAAACAAACAAAATATGGAATCATTAAGTTAGCAAGAATGCTCATCACTCTCCATGATGATGTAGGTATAGTTAGATCACCTGTCTCTAAGTACAAATCCCATTATTTCAGTTCAGCTTAAATGGTCCCTTCTCCTGAAAGTGATTCTTAGCAATTTCCCATCATTCAATCCTCAACCTGCTCACTGGCTGTAAGTGCCCAATCCCCTCAAGTGAAAAGTACCACCGAAGAATCCGTATCATAACCAAACACTTTAACAAGTTTCCACCATCCAGATAACCCTGATGACACATACAAACAAAATGAAGGTAAAAAATTAGAAAAGCCAAACAAAGAAGAAATGTGGAAAATGAGTTAACCCCGCCCATCACCACCACACACACATACATACACCAGAGAAAACCACTACTAACAGTTTTTTCTGATCTCTTCCAGATAAATGAACATTCTTGGGTATACACTAGAAGAATGAGACTATATTCTCTATTTATCATCTTGCTTTCGGATTCAGTAACATACCCTGTAGATCTTTCTCTATCTGTACAAACTCACCTTATTCCATTTCACACACATGACACAATAAAATAGTTGTTTATTGATGTATTTCCTGCTGTTTTCTTATTGCAAATAATACTGCAATATCATTGTGTGTATGCATTATGTATGCATGTTCATCTTGGCAAACTGGCAATGTATCTTTACAGTAAGTTACACAAATTTAAGATGTTCTTCTGAATGTTAACATCAACATATATATTCATAGTGTACACAAGTATCCATTTACCTACATACTTGATATTACTGGTATTAAAACTCTACCCTTCTGAAAGGCACAAAAGCAGGGAACATACTCAACTGTCTTTATTCCTCCAGTCTTCTTCCTCACATCCTCTTCATATTCCTTTTTATTTTTACTACTGTTGTTAATTACAGAAATTTAATCCCAAATGTTTTCTTCTTTCCTCTTGGTCTACTCAAGGACTCAACTATTTTTCTATTCATTCATCACTTCTCTCATTTCATTAAACTTTAACATGAACCAAGTTTTCCTCTACAGTTTAAGTGGATATGTTAGAATGAATTTTCCAGAATTTTCTTCATTATTTTCACTTTTCTTAGGTGAGCTTTTCAAAAAAAAACTCTTTATATTTCAATTGGGACTTCATTAAAAACATTATACCTTTAAGAAAAGCTGACACTGTGTGGGATCCATCTTCATGTGGATACACACGCATGACACTTTTGTCTTATTGCGTCTTTCTACTCAAGGGCATGGTATGACTTAACATTTAATAACCTTTTATGGCCCAGGAATTTCTAAAGCTATGGATATATATCTGTAACTGTCAACTTACTTTTATTTCCTAGTTCTCCTGAATATTCTAATATATAATCATTTTGTCTGCAAATAATTTTATAGCCTCCTTTTCAAAGATTACACCTTTTATATGTCACATGTCTACAGTATTAACTAGAACTTTGAGAATGGTATTAAGTAATGCTGTTTTGAGAGTCAAATGAATTCAGTTCACTTGATTATGAACCATGAAGGTGAGACACATATGTAGTTTCAAAACTTTAAAAACATTATTTTTTAAAGACATAGTCTCTGCAGGACTGGCTAGCCTGAAACTCACTTTGTACTCAATTCAGCTATGTTTTTCAAGTGTCTCAAGTAGCTACTATCTAGGACCTGGTATTTCTAGTGTTTCATAACTATACATTAGCTAGATTAGCAAATAACAAAGTACTTACTTTAAAATAGGTAAAAATACAGATACTTCCCAGCTTTCACCTTGCCAGCTAGTTTTATTACCTACTAGAGTAGACCCTGATTTTTTGGGTTTTTTTCCCTTTTGACTTAGTACTATGGTATTGTCATCTTGACTCTCTAATATAAAAATATGCTTAAGTATCAATGATACATCCTTGAAGATCTTTGTACTACTTTAAAATAATTCTATTTGGCATTATTTTATTTATGTTGGCATAAATATTAAGAAAAATGGTCTGAAATTATCTACTGTTTAGTCTTACATAGTAATATACTGGTTCATAAAAATCAATTTTTCCTTATTAAATGTAAGTTTAATAGGGATAGACTGTTAAATGTTTAAACAAAAATACAAATTATCTGACCTTGGCAACTTAAGTACCTTAAAATCTACAAAATTAATAGTGTATTTTTTAACAAAAATATTCAAATTTATTTACATGGGTTTTTCTTTTTCTTTCTTTCCTTTTCTGAGACAGGGTCTCACCATGCAGCACTGGCTGGCTTTGAACTCTCAGAGATTCACTGCCTCTGTCTCCTGAGTGCTGGGTGTACTGTGTGCATTACCATGCTCGTTCCATAGACCTTTTAAACAGTTAGTGCAGAAAGACACTTTGAACCAAAAGACGAATAGTTCATTTCTTCCAGGGGAGTCATTACTTAAATATCCCCTAGCATCTTCTTGCATAATCCAAAACAAAACCTCCATACTAAAAAGTATATACCCTGTGAAGATATATAGTACTAATGACATTCTGATACTTCATATAACCTTGTGAGAAAATATCAAAACATAAAAAGGCTGAAAAGTTACCAAAGCTATGACACTAATATGGGAAGAAGCTCTTCTGGAGTGTGATTAAATAAAAGATGACAGATTTTGGACCAAATAGATGCAGCTCTTGGTTTTTCAAGACAGGGTTTCTCTGTGTAGCTTTGGAGCCTATCCTGGCACTCGCTCTGGAGACCAGGCTGGCCTCGAACTCACAGAGATCCACCTGCCTCTGCCTCCCAAGTGCTCGGATTAAAGGCGTACACCATCACCGCCCAGCTAGATGCAGTTCTTAATCATTACTAGTACAGTATCTAATGTCTACCAAGCTGTGTTCCTAGGGACATCTTAGCATGAAGCACCTTTAGAGGAGCAATAGAGGATGTGATGTGTTCGAAAGGATCCCAAACACAGCTGATCTACCTGTTCTTGAACCTCAATCTAGTCCACAGACTGTTCAGGCTATTTTATGACACTGATTCTTTACATGAAACTCTTTTCATCACACGTATTCAGTGCCTCCTTCAAGAATACAGGTTTTGTGTCCTGGCTTCTTCTATAGACTATGTTGTATTATGTATGTGAAACTCTATACAGGCTCTTACCTTTCACCATATAAAGAAGTTAAAATTTCACAATCCATTCCACAGAGACCTTCCTACTCTACTGAAGCCCCCACTGCTTCCTTTCACTGAGGCAGATTATACCTACAATAAATTTACACACACCCTCTCTCCCATTTATATCTCTTTGTGTGTTTGTTTTTCCAGACAGGGTTTCTCTGTGTAACCCTGGCTGTTCTGGAACTCACTCTATAGACAAGGCTGGCCTCGAACTCAGAGATTTGCCTGACTCTGCCTCCTGAGTGCAAGAATTTAGGCAAATTTCACTACTGACTGGCTCGTTTATATGTTATTAATTGTAGAATAAAGCATATAAATAAAATTGCCTGTACATTATGGGAAATTTCTGGAATATTAGCTATTATTCTTCATCCTCTCCCATTCAAAAAGTTATACAGAAAACATGAAGCATGAAATTATATGTATCTTCTCTAGAATTTTAGCAAATTACTTACTAATTCTAAACTATCTATGACCCCATCCCAACAATTTTTACTAAGCATTGGAGAAGCACTGCAACCTGAAGACCACTGGCTAGATGGAAAAAATGCAAAGCTCTTGGTAAAGTCTGAGGATACTCTTTGGTGGAGGAGAGCAGGTGGTTCTGCAATGCCAGAGTGGCCCTACAGCTGCTGTCTGTGTGAATGTGGTACGCCCTGTACTTTCACTGTCAGATCTAATGTTGCAGGCATGCAGAAATGTTGGTGTGGTGAGCAGGCTAGAGTTGTCCTTCTCATCTCTGAATACTCATTCTCTCTGCCTCCATCACTCCTTTCGATGCTATAAGCTATTTTATCAGGCTTGGAAAAAACTCAAAATCATTTCGAATATATTAAATCTAAATTCCCATCTTAATAGTTTTTGGAAGCAGGTAAAAATGAAAAGTGACTCACTTTCTAGAGGCAAACTGCTGTCAAACAGATCTCAGTGCCCCAAAGGAACAGCATTATTACCATCTTATGTCCCTCTCTCCCAACTTAATCTTCCCATAGTGCCTCCGTCTCCCTCCTACATGGTCGATGATCTTGCATAATCTTCAATGTTCCTGTCCAGAAAGGCCTGGTAAAACCCTGGGTCTGTGCCTACTGACTGGTACTTTAGACCCTTAAATTCTGTTTGTTTGTTTATTTGTTTTGAGACAGGGTTTCTCTGTGGCTTTGGAGGCTGTCCTGGAACTAGCTCTTGCAGACCAGGCTCACACAGATCCGCCTGCGTCGGCTTCCAGAGTGCTGGGATTAAAGGCGTGTGCCACCACACCCGGCTTAGACCTTTAAATTCTATATCTAACAACTTTAGCCACTTTACAAATGTACCACAGCAACTGAACTATAAACTGTTCAATAAATGTGGTTGCTATGACTCTGGCATTCAAGAAGCTGCCTAATCACTCCATGAAAGTTTAGCTACTTGTGTCAGTACAATGAAAAGTAAAATACCCATCTACTTACAAGAATGATATCTAGATGGGTGATTTGTATCTAAAATCTTCATTTTAAAAAAGGATCATATTGTATTTTAAATGCACACAGTTTTCAAAAGAAGACATAAATGCCTGGTCCACTTGACCCTAGGGCATTAGAAACAGGTGGGGAGAGATTTTGGCATCACACAACTCCTGGCATTTGATGTCTGGAGCTAGGGATGCTAAATAGACACAGAAAGACTCCCAAAGAGACACACTGAAAAGAAGATTTCAAACTAGATATCAAATGGCATTTCCAATAAAAGGAACACTGGGCCAGCCTAGACCAAAATTTATAGTTAAGAATACAGACTGGAGCTGGTAAAGAAGATCCTCATGGAAGCTGTGACTATTAAATGGGGTAGGCATTAGCCTACTAATCTTCAATCTAACAGGTATGAAATCAAGCACATACTACTATATTATACAATTAAGAAAAGTGAATACAGTTTATTATTGGTGTATGTATTGGGTTCTTACTAACTAGTGATAGAACAACACACGTTTAATAGTTTATCCAGCATCTTTGAAGTCAATCTAAAACAAAATTATTTAAAATAAGTTTCTTTAGATGTTTCCAATCTGCAAATCTCTTACACATCAGATTTTATGTGTCTCACCAATGCTGCTATTCCTCTGATACCTAGCAAAGCAAACAGCAGTTCAGCATTAAAACTCTGTAGTGCTATATACAATTTGCAACTACGTTTGGCTTACCTCATAGGGTAGTTTATCAAAATACCCATTATTTGGCCCATCCCCGAGGGCAGCACTGCTAAACTTTTTGTTAAGACCATCTATTCCACAGCCGTCCTTTTCTTCATAGTCATCACCTTCTAGATCATTCATGTCAACAAGTGAAGTCTTGAGAGAGAGCAGTGGCTTGTCCTTGGTACCATGAAGCACAACTGCATCTAATTCTTTGAAATAATCCAGAAGAGAACTATTTACTTCCAGTCGTATAAGATTTGTGGGGAAATTTATCTGCTTAATACAAGGTTTAAACTGGCGAGCCTGGGAAGCATTCACCTTCGTAGGTCTCTCTGACCAAAGAATCTCCCATCTGCCAAAGAAAGAAATGTCCCAGCAGTTTAGAATGAGATCTACTGTTACTGTTAGGGTACAATCCCCCACCCAACTAAGACAGTGTGAAATAAAGGAAACAAATAAGGTGAATAGAATCAAACACAGGAGTCACCTCAATAATTTATTTTTAAAAACTAAATGTCAGATGTCTCTACTTAAAATATTTTCACGAGCCCTCCAAAATGTCTTTGTATTTTCTCCAAGTTCCCCTTGGTTAAAGACTAGAATCAGCAGTTAAAGGTATCTGAAGAATCAAATTGAGTTTTACAGAATACTACACACTGAGAAAGAGAACACACAGAGGACAAAGCTGTCCAGTGTGCATGTTCTCAGCCAAGTCAGAAACCAAGCAGATCCTTCTACCTCACAAACGTCTCCTCTCCAGCATTTCCATTTTTGTTTCTGGCCTCTTACAAACTCAAAATCCCATGGTCTTTCTATGTATGGGTGTGTATGTGTGTGCAGGTGTATGTATGTGAGGACCAGAGAATAGCCACAAGTATTGTTGCTCAAGCACCACCCACCATGTTTTCTTTTGTTTGTATAGACCGTCTCCATCTCTGCCCACACTGAGCTCACAAGTATACACTGCCATGCCCAGCAGTTTTCACATGGGTTCTGGGAAGGAAACTCAGGTCCTCAAGCACTATATTGACTGAGCCACTACCCTAACCTTAAAGCAATGTTTTCCTGTTTTTGAAATTCAGTCATTAAATGTTGTTGAGATTTCAGGGAACTGTTATATATGCCCTTATCCTGAATTGCCATTTCATTATTCTTTTAGTCACACGTATATCCCTAATACTTAACAAGAATCTAACAAATAACAAAAGCATAACATTCTCTCCTGTCCTTACAACAGGACTCCACTTTTCAGGCAAATTATCCTTACTTTTTTCACAATACATTTATAACTAATTTGAGTCTAAATTCATGATGTCTTCTCCAGTGGAACATCCAATGTACTTCTATTACTCTCCCATGTCCATGTGAATCATCTTATAAAACTCTTCTCCAAACTCCACAAGTCTCATCCCCAGTTCTGCAACATACATGCAGCAATTTCCCTTCTCTCTCTGCCCCCACTCCCAGAGAACTAAAGCAGACCTCATCACCTTCTCTTCCTAGCCTCAGCCAATTCCCATTCCTAAGTGTCAGCTCCCAAAACCTAAAAAAAAATTAGAATGTCACCAGACTTCCCAATGGAGACTCTAAAAGACAAAAGGGTCTAGGGCAGATGTGCTGCAGATTCTAAAAATCACAGTTGCCAGCACGGACTACTATACCCAGCAAAACTTTCAAGCACCATAGATGGAGAAAATAAGACACTACATAATAAAACAAGATTTCAGCTGTATCTATATACAAATCCAGCCATGCTAGAAGAAAAATTCTAACCAAAAGAGATTAACTACATAAAAGAAAACAGAGGAAAGAAATAATCCCAGACCAGCAATGTCAAAAAAGGGAAACATACATACACATACACCACACACACACACACACACACACACACACACACA